AGGGAGAAAATGAATAACTGATATCGACACAAATGAAGAACAGGAAGCTGATGAGTTTTTCGAAATCATTAATGAATTGGGAATTAATATAGTATAAGTATTCATGCCCATATATGTGTGTTCATTTGATGTATTTATTTTTTTATGTATCAGTTGATGTTGTGTTCTGACGTACTCACATAAAGTCAATAAAAAAGCTACCATGTTTTAAAAATCTAGTGAAACATTTTTCAATAACCTTTTTATTTAAAACTTCGTTATAATAAGGATATGATGGTAAGTTAATCTATTAACTTGTTAACTGTTGAATGTTATAGCAACTTTGAATATTTAATTAGATTTATCATTTACTAAAAAAATTTGAGGTATCTTGGTTTGAATTTAGGGGGTTTTAAAATAGGCTTAGGAGAAAAGATTTTGAGCAATTGGCATCACTGTTTTGTGGTCTCCTTACTCGTTTGAAATTTGTGATTATCCATGTCTTGGATCACCATCTTGGTTGCAACGACACTAAACACGTTGAATAAACTCTTAATTCTTTTTGTTGTTTCAAATTCATATCATCGGAATATATGTATTGCTATTAAAAGTATTATAAAAATAAGTCAGATACCTTCGACAGTGAGGCTAAGTAGAAAGATGAAAATAAATACAACCGTCAGCTTTAAATTTTATTTCAAAATATCTTTTCACATAAATTTCAAAAAGAAACTACCCGTTCTTTGACCGCGAAACAAAATTGTTAAATAATATTTTTTTTTAATATAATAGAACTGAGCGATGAAAATCCATTATAACGTATTCAAAAAATAGTTCGATGTGAGGTTTTCACTTGAGAGTTTACAAAACCGCGACACATGTTTCGGGCGTCACAATACTATTGTGACACAATACTACTGTGACGCCCGAAACTGCTATTGTATAGCGAAACACGTGTCGAGGTTTTGTAAACTGTCAGTATTGTGACGCGCGAAGATGCTATTAGCGCAAAACATGTGTTGCGGTTTTGTAAACTGTTAAGTGGAAATCTACATTAAAGTGTTTTTTCAATACGTCATGATGTTTTTGATTGAATGGAAATTTCCAAAAAAGGCACCTTCAACCTGTATACCAATCATCAATGTATTTTTGTAGGCTTCACTACTAACTAAATATGTAATGTTCTTCACTCGACTATTTTTAATTTTGCCGCCAAAACGACTCCTCCACACGGAAATACCCCTACCACATTTTTCGGCCATATTGTAAAACGTATTTCCCACTTCCGTCTTGTCCATTTCGTCATCGAACCTCTTAGTTTCGTGAGTACTCCGTGTTAACTCCAATGACTTTTTTAAATAATATAAGTAAAAATGGATAACAGAAATAATATGTTACAATTATGTAGACTGTGTTTAGTTAAGGACGATGTTAATATTCCAATTTTTGAGGAACATGGTGATATTAGGCAAATTTTCCTGAAAATTAGTTCGTGTCTACCGGTTAAGGTAAGTTGGCGTTACCCCGCCATGTTGCAGTTTGATCTTGATAGTTGATATTCGACAGAATTTTTTATTTTTGACATCATTTCGTATGTTTACTAAACATTTTAATAATGTAATGTTCGACAGCTTACAACAAAAACTTTAAATATTGTTATTTAGATAGATTTTTCAGCCGTTAAGTAATTAATATAGGCGTTGGCTTTTCACAAAATTGGATTGTTTTGTTATTTTACTTTTTTTTTTGTACTCATCTGTACGACATGAATGATAGTGGCATGAAGTTATATCAAAAAGTAATCATGGAGATTAATTTTGTTATAATGGGAAAAATATTTCGTTTAAAAATCAATATACAGGGTGGAGTGGGGGGTCGCGAGGGGATGTGACCTTCATTATGTTTATAGTACAAGCAATTGGAAACTGTTAACTGCGTTTCATTGTAGGTATATGGTTGTCATGTTAATTCGTGCAGAAGTCCACCGCCGTGGACAACAAAGAACTTTTGAACCATGTTTTGATTTTAAAGCTAACTTTAAGCATATCTGCCACTTCATAACTTTTTTTTTTCTACTCTCAAAGACTCCGTCAAAGGCTGCCATCTTTACAAGCCTTTCCATTTGCTCCACCCAGTACAATTTCCCCTTTGAAGTCTGAAGTACAGCCTGTACAGTTGCGTTCAAGAGTATTCCATTGGCGTACTAAATTCAATTTCTCTTCATGATTTATTATGAAAATGTACATTTACAAAATCATTTTTATAATTTCTATTTTGAGATTTTTGTGATCTTGATTTGATGGAAGGATCTATTAAATTTTCTGTCGGTACTGATATGATTGAGGATGCTATAAAATAAAGATTCTGGGAAATAAAGAGGTTAGTAATTGGGGATCTATTGATTTTGAAAAAATATAGAATATTCTCATTAAGGAAAACATTTTGAATAAGGAATTTTTACTCTGAACATCATTTTTATTACCCTTACTGAAATGCATCTCCATAGTAATCAGAAATATCAAATATATTTTTAGATAGTTTTGGAAAGTTTTGGAAAATGCCCAATGCTTGACAGCACAAAAATTTTATGTTTGTGTTTGTTTTCAATTGGGCAAATATTAATTTACAGGGTTTTTCGCAGAGTTTTTCCTACTATGAAATTTTCTGTAGCCCGATTCTCTGTACATTTTTTTCTAAATTCATTTTTAATTTAGATTTTTTTGTCTAAGTCATTCCTCCTTATCGAAATAGTACTTGATTGAACAACAGCAAAGTTTATTTACTTTGACATGTTGAAATTGCTTTACATTGAAGTAGGCTCTTGAACCAATAAATACTGTACAGTTGAATTTACTGTTAGCTGTATATGGGAATTTGAAATACATTTTTAGAGCCAAATGCAAGTTGGTGTTCAACAGAAATGTGTGTTTGCTCTGTAAAATGAAAAATATTGATTTGCAGTCCAACCATGATTAAACATTTCTGCAACAATGAACATTTATAATACTCAATTAACTGGTTTAGTGATTCAATAATTTCTACAAGAAAGGTTAGTTGGGTAACAATCAATTTTTCTTGAAAAAAAAAACAATTGTTTTCTTGCGAATGTTTCGAATTTAATTAAATTCTTTTTCAGGACTTGAAAAAGACAATGAAAATCGAAACTTTGGCTAGAAAATAATAACTTTTCAGAGAAAACTTGATCCTGTTACTCAAATAACTGTTTAGATCATTAAATTTCCAATCTAACATTTGCCTACTTTCGAGGGAACCAAAGAAATTGGTGAGATCCCATGTTGGATCACTGATTTCCTTCAAACAAAAACTCTCAATAGTTTAAACTTGTGCAAGCTGGTAATTAACGAGAACTTATCTTTATAAGTGCCTAGCATCTCATAATGTTCTATATTATGAACGTTTGATAAATATTTTGGTTATGGATTATATATTCCTAGTGCACTAACTATAATTGGTTAAAATGTGTGCAAATCCATGATTTCTGAAATTTTGCTAAGCTACACTTGAGTCTATAATAATTTGGTGAAATCATGAGATCGTTGGTTGAGGGATTTTATCTGAAATTATTACACGAGCGTATTTGCTTCAAAGAAGTAACTTTCAGACACAAACTGGAAGAAAAAGCCCTCTGGAAACAGCTACTTTCATATAAACATTGAATTACACAAATGAAAAATACTTTCGCAACAAATACTATTATATGAACACTGAATTATACCAAAAACACTTTTCTCTATTCCGTTTGTATTCTAAATACCTATTGAATATGGAATTGAATGAATATATTCACAATATAGTAAATGAATTAGGTAAAATTTCACTTACATGGGACACTGTCATCCTCACTGATTGTGTTCTTGGATGAATAAATAGCAATCAGTTTTTGATTATTACATTGTAAGGTCATGGAAAAACTCATAATCATTGATTGACACTAGATTACTTGTGAGAAGTCATAGGTTTTTTTATAGCAGATTAACCAGTTTGAGCCACATTAATTCACTCATATATTTTCTCTAATTGTTATAGGTATCACGAGAAGATAAATTGCCTAAAAAAATATGTGATGGATGTTCCTTTAAGTTAGATACCCTATATGAGTTTTGTAATACAAGTGCAAACGCGGAAAAACAATTGTTAACATGGTTAGGTGAAGCGGGCATGAATTCACAGATGGTAGATGGTACCATAACGGCGGTAACACAACAAATCAAACCTACAGACACATTCGTAAAGGAAGAAACAATTGAGCCTCCTGACATTCATAATGAGGACGATGATGATAAGGACTACATGTTCCAGCAAAAGTTTGAGGAGGTGGGTGTTTTTATTTTTATGTTGTATTGTGTTATTAATTTTATATTTTTCAGTCTGCATCAGCTGGGCCCTCTGCGACTGTAACCTCAAATGAGGAAGAGGAACCTCCTCCTAAAAGAGCTCGTAGAACAGCTGCTGTAAAAGCTGCAATCGCCTTGGACCATGACAGTGATGATGATGATGACGATTCAGGAGAACCAATGACCAAGGTAAACATCAAACTTCTATTTGATTAGGTTTTATCCTACTTTGGACTCTCCATATAATATAATTGTAATTGGTATTTATTCCTTTGAAATTTGAGGAATCTTTCACTACAGAAAAGATCTGTATTTTTCTGTAAATTTTGCCTTTTCAATGATCAGCGGATCATACTCACAGGATTATACTCACAGGATTTTAGTAGTCACTTGAAAGTTCTTTGACTTTAGTACTAGAACTTGCAATGTATATAACAATAATTTCTTCTATACAAGTGAAGGTCATATTTTATTCTAAAATCAGTCGGATGTGAAATGAATTTTATTGTAGAACATTTTTTATAATATGTTGGAATATTTTTGCAATATTTATAGTCTTTTCCTCTATTATGTTATTTTTATTTTGAGAATTTCAATTTTTTCCCAACTATCAACTTCATCCATAATTTTATTTGAAGAAATTACCAGCTATCATAATGATAAAACTTTACTACAGTTTATAATATGCAAGTACAGACCAATATTAAAGTCATGCTTCAGATGCCTTGATATTAATACACATACTTTCGTGGTATTGATCAGCGAAAAATTGATAAATATTTTGAGTGGAAGCACTCAGAGCTAAAAATCTGCTGTATAAGATCATTAAATTTCCAATCTAACATTTGCTTACCTTGTGGCAAATATTGTGTATTATCATTTCACAGCATGTTATTGGACATGTATGATGACTCTTTTCCTATACAGAAAATCAAATCGAAGCGTAAAAAGCCGTGGGTGACGAAAGGACTGAAAAAGTCCTCAAAAAATTTACACGCACTGCATTACATTAGGAAATTTACGAATGACCAATTTATCTGTATGTACCTCACGAGGTACCGTAAAATTTATAAATCAACTATCAGGTTAGCAAAGAAATTACAGAAACAGAATTGGAGAATCAACTAACAAAATTAAAGAGACTTAGTCCATAATAAATGACCTCAGAGGAAAATCAAAGAAAACAAAGGTTGATATCCCATTAATTCCTAACAAAAATGAACGAATTCTACTGCACCATTGCTCAAAAGCACTAAGCAGCACTATTCACTTGCCCTATGATACTTTAATCAATCTAGAAAATGTTAATATCGATTATAGTTTCATTTTGTATAACACAGATATTCATGAATTATTTGAAACCTTGAACGACATCAGAAATAAAAATGCTGTTGAGTATGATGAGATTTCTGTAAAAATACTTTTGAATCTACCAGGCAATGCATTGGAAACTTAGTCAATCTCATTATTGCCTCCTTTAAAAGTGGCTCATTTCCTCTTTCTTTTAAGACTTTAATTATTATTCCCCTACACCCTACATGAAGGTGGTGATTTGCATGATCCCTCCAATCTGCCGCCCATTTATCTAATTCCAACTTTAGCGAGAATTATTGAAAAATTAGTGAATAAACGATTGAACGATTTCTTAAATTTGCATGATATCATGAGTAATAACCAATTTGGGTTTTATTCAGAAATAAATGCTGGCGAAGTAGCTGCCGCAATTTTCTGTGAATTTTCGAAGGCTTTTGATTGTGTTAATCATGAGTTGTTACTCAAAAAACTTCACCGGTATGGCTGCAGAGGGGTGACATGCAATTGGTTTGAATCATATCTCTCAGGGTGAAGTCAAATGGTCAGAACATCGGAACTCTCAGAAAGCAGGCAATCACATCTGGTGTGTCACAGGGTCGTGTGTTGGGTACAGTTCTGTTTTTGTTGTATATTAATGATTTAAATATGATGATACTAATTTATTATCCTTGAATATCTCCAAAACAAATATAATAACATTTAAATGTCTGCTAAATGAACTGTCAATAGGCAATGATATCTTGGAAAACAAATTGAACACAAAATTTCTTGCTGTCTATATTGATAATAGGCTCAAATTTGATGAACACGTTAGACAACTTAAGATTAAAATCTCCTCCGGATGTTATGCGGTGAGGGTGGTTTCCAACGAGCTAAGGTTTCACACAGCAAAAACAGTTTACTATGCTTTTATTGAATCCCAAATAAGATATGGAATACCATTTTGGGGAACATGCAGTGCAGCCCTTCTCTCATCTGTGTTGATATTACAGAAAAGGACAGTAAGATGTCTCTCTAAGGTCAAACCTAGGGAATCATGCAGAAATTATTTTGGGATCAATAAAATTTTAACCGTCGTTGAACTGTTCATTCTTGAAACTGTATGTTTGTTGCACAAATACATTCTCTCTTTTTGAATGATGTGTTTCTTCTTGCAACAAAACCCATTACTTGAACTCAAACATGTTCAATGCGATTAAGGTCTCAATGATAAGTGGGCAGATGCAGAATAATGATGTTTTCTTCATGTATTATGTTTCAACTTTTCTGGAATGATAAATTGCATTATCTATCTCCTTATTATATTTCTTATTGTCAAGATATTAGCTTTGCTAAACTCATGGTCTGGGGTGGCTCTTGGGTCTTGTCCTATTATACAAACACTCACTGATGGTAAATGAGTTGTATATTTCAAAACTACCTTTGACTTTTTTTGTTTTCGATTTGATTTGTTGCCAATAAACTGTTACAAAAATTGTAACAATAATATTACCAAGTGTGCTCAATTTAACTGTATTTCACCATCTCTTTGGCAATTGATAGATTACCTTCTGCAACCAAATTGTTTCGTTCCAGGTAGAAGATGAAAGTGAAGAAAGTGAAGGTGAAGATCAAGAACCTTCATTTGCAGATGCTCCATCAACAAGTGCTGATGACCAACCTGGCCCATCTGGTGTGGGAAAGGATGGAGTTGAAGCACCGTGAGTACTTGTTTTATTTCACACCCAATTTCCTCAATTGCATCTGAATGTACCCGGTTTATACTGGTTTTGCTGCTTCATTTTGTTAATCCCTGAGTTTGCTTTTTTTTCCCTATTTCTTGCATTGAAAATGATAATTCTATCAGTTATGGTGAACATTTCGATTCAAGTACATTCAGGTGACTCCTTTGGTCTAACAACAAATGACAAAATTTTAGTTAACACTGAAACTTCTAGATTGAAAACTTTTCTCTTTTTAATGAAAGAGATGCAAAATAGATGTTGATATTTTTTTATTCGAAATCCAATTGATTCTTCAATTACCTTTGATGGCGTAGTAATTACATTTTCCTCAGTTTTAAAAAATTTACCTTTGTAAACTTTTTTTTGAGGAAAATTACGTGATACTGTGTTGTCAAATTTGGTATATGGATAAAATATTTTTCATACTTCAAGAATTATATTTTATCTATTTCATATTGGTCAATTGGCGCATAACAATAGTGAATTTTCATGTGTCTTGAATTTTGTTTTTGATGAGCAAATACAAATGTTCAACACATGCAAAATTTCACAAAAAATATCTACATTGTCTTTTGCCATCTTTTTCACCAACGTGAGATTTTCAATCCAGTAACTAATATTTCTTTGGTAGGCAGTAATTTTTTTTTCTGAAAGAACCATTCAAAGGGTACTTACAAATATTACATGTTGCAGTAACAATATAATGTGAATACATCTACTTCTTTGTGCTCATATTATTTTTGTTATTTTGAATGTTATATTGTAATGTTCCTTGAGAATCTAGAAATTTGTATAAACATTGTCTACAAATTTGAAAGTTGATTCATTTTAAAATATGTTCAATACTTATTGTTCCAATTTAAATTTTGTTATTTGTTGTCAGACAATTGTTATTTTATCGAATTGTTTCATAGCAGATAAAAGGTGGGTTTGTTTCAAATAACTTTCAAAGAAAGTAAAATTTTGGAAACCTTAGAATAAATATGACATCCCAAACAAGTACTCAAAAAAATGTATTTATTCTATAGAACTCTAATGACTTCAAAGTCATGTTTTTTGAGGCAAATTCTCCTTTTACTGCAGTGTTTTATTCCTTTATTTAGCTTTGTCATTCTTTTGACAAAGCAGATTTGTTACATTGTTTGCAAAATTGCTTTCAATGATATTTTTGTTCCAGTGCAATTTTGCACTGGAACATGGTTTCAGTGTTATTTGTTCCAGCGCAGTTTTGCTCTGGAAATTTTATGGTTGTCAGTGATTGTATTTTTGTCAAAACAAAAATTTTGTTTTGATACATTTTCAAAACATAATTTTGTTTTGATCCAAAAAATAGGTTGATACAAATATGTATCAACAAAAAGGTTATAGCCAGAACATTTTTTTGTTTTGGCTGGTACATATTCAAACAAGATATCAATTTGATATTTTGTATTGAACAAAAGAAAGAAATAGTGATTTTTCATATGTGATGTGATCTATAAAGAGTCTTTAATGATTCACACTGATTTATCATTTGATGTCAGAGTGAATTAGTTTTATCTAAAATCAATGTGTTGAATTATGTGAGGTGAAGTTATGAAGTGAAATCAATCCAACAAATTTGTTTGGATTTTCAACTTTTGCTTTCAGCTTTCAAAAATGTTTTGTTATTTGGTAACACCATTTAACTACAGTTTACAAATTGCCATGAGTCAACTTCTCTTCTTCAGAATTTGATTTCTTCACAATTTGTGATTTGCCCTCATATGTCTCTTTTTTAAAATAATTCATATTAATTGATGTCTCTTAATATATTTGATTTGGTGTAAATTACTCTTTGTACAAGGTACTTGTCCTTACATTGAAGTGGAAACTCTACTCTACTATAGATGTCTGAAAATTGTTTAGAAAGCAATTAATATGTATACAGATAATTGTATGCATTATGTAATCGTTGCTTGGTACTGTTCGGTTAATTGTTATTCAAAGGACCGATTATGCTTATCGCGACTACTCTTCTGTAATATGAGAACCAATATCTATAACATGAGCACCATATCAAAAAGTGGGATCATCTATTACATGATTAGTGTTATATGTAACGTAATCACTGTTATGTTTGTGATCACGGATATGTATAACGTAATCACTGTTATGCTTCAACGTGATCTCTGTTGTATAACATGATCACTGTTGACTGTGTAATGTGATCATTGTTAGATGCAATGATACCATTGTTATATGTGAAGTAATCATCTTTAGGTGTTACATGAAAACCATTATCTGAATGAGGTGAAAGGAATAAAAAGCAAGTAAACTGTATATATAAAATTGGTTTCTACGTGCTGAAAGATGTTCTTTCATTCGAATGTTCCCTTTTCGTGTTCACAAAATTCAATACCATAGACCAGGATTTCTTGATATGTGAAACATAAACTTTGTTCTTGAAGTTCCTACTTTGAACTTTTAAAACGAATTTTATGTTTGCATATTTCATCATATGATCTACTCGGTGTTGACAAAATATAATTTTGTTTTTAAATTACGAGCTTAGTATTTTTTAACTACTTCTGTATGTGGCAAATAAAACTACAAACAGGGTTATTATTTGTCATATTCTGTCATGTTTAATATTGAGAAAATGATCTCTACAATGACTTTCTACTTATAAATAATTACATTACTGACGAAATACATTATAGTTCAGAAATAGATTAGATTCCAAGTTTGAAGAACTTTGAATATATTCATCAAAAAGGTCCAGTGTAGACACCTCTTTTTATTATTTTTCTGAATGGATTTGAAATGACACCAAGAATTACCCCAGAAGACACAGAGACTACTCAGAAGATTTTGGCTTCTTCCTTTCCTGAGCTTTCTTCCATGGCATTGGATGCAGATATGATGGCCCTAGACTGGCTGTAACTGGATTGCAATAAAATATGTTGTGTTGAAATTGTGTGTTCATTCATTACCTTTAATGACATTTTATCTGTATGTCATCTTTACGATATTCCAGAAAAAAGTAAATATAGTTTTATCAGCTTGGCCTTTTTTAATATTATCTGGTAATATAAATTTTCTGCTGTTAGTAAATTATTCTTCTATAGAGATTATTTTCCAATTTTGAAGTTGTGGTGAGTTGCCACAATATAATTTTTACAAAAGCTTCAAATATCATTACATACAATAGTTTTTAATGAGTTAATATTTCATGCGAAAAAAGATTATTGGAACGAACTTCAGTGTTATATTGAGTTATATTGGTAATATTCAAATTTCTAGATTCGGCAGTGGGTGACGTAAGATATTGAAAAAATGGTAGCTTTTAGTTGGCACCATCTAAAAAATAATCTATTACAAAATGGGAGTTGATTATTGGAAACAACTCAATTGCCAACACTGTAAAAGTGGAAAGTTGGTAAAAAATCAGTCATTCAACTTCACCTATGCTATTATTGAATTGGAGAGGATATATGAAAAGTAAGGGGTGCCCAAAGTTATATTATGATGTTAACAGATTGTTCAAACACGTCATAACAGATCTGTACCTACGAATAAAATATTGTTTTAAAAGATTTTTTATCTCTTATTTTCACTGAAATGTTAAGGTAACTAAGTTCATGAAATTATTAAGAATGGTGGCGACTCCTCTTACAAAGCCGTCATTTTTTCGTCAAAAAAGTCTAGCAACATATATCATATACAAACGAGGGTCCAGTGGCTCTTGAATATCAAACTGAATAATAAGTTTCCCTATACATTATTTCTAGCATTTTTGTCTAATTTTGCTTTGTTTTTGAGAAAAATAAAATGAAAAACACGGAAGGCATGCCCATGGACAACAAAACATGTTCAATGTCAATATTTTTTTAATACTTGCATTACTTTTGATAACAATGTCTAAGACTAGACTGTTGATATAAAAAAAAGTACAGCCTAGTTGACTAGTTTTATTTTTGTTGAATAATTATTGAAATGTTTCAGGTGTTTACTATACAATTTTTTTCTCTAATTTCTGACTTTTCTTTTTTTACTGAATAATTATTGGATCATGGCTTTTTACTCCAAGAAATGTATATGATTGTAAAAATTAGATTGTATATAACTTTTCAACTTTATAGAATGTTAACTGGTCTTTATACCTTTGTATTTTGAACATATGAACATTTAACCTGGATATCTCTATAACAATCTGTTATGACGATGTTTGACTTGACTGGGATTTGAATCATTTCGCTACTGATTAGTTTTTCAATGGTACAGAAATTTTGAGGATGAGATATTTGCAGATGGCCTTATCGAGGTAAGTGAAAAATTCGTTATGTTTAGGTCGTTTAATTTGAGCCCTACAATTGACGAAATATTTTCGGTGTATGTTGCTTAAAAATAACTGAAGTCAATGTGAACATAATAAATTTTCATTATTCATTTAGGAACGACTTTTAATATAAAGTTCAACATTTTCTAGAGTTTTTAGTAAAATTTATATTCAGAGAAAGGCCAGAGAAACTTGCAAAACATTTTTTTAACCCCTAACCGAAATTTTTAAAGTTATTCTCTCATAGTTTCCATCAGTTTGGGATGAAGTTTTTTGGTCAAAACTTTTTGAAGTGTCAGATATTGACGTAATATTGATATGTTTAAAGTTATTCACCAATATACAAGGTATCGAGTAGAAGCGTGGCAGGACATTTTTTTCACTTCAAACGAAATTTTTAAAGATATTCAGTTGTAGTTTCCATTAGTTTGGAATGAAGTTTTTGCTCAAAACTTTTTGAAGTGTCAGATATTGACGTAATATTGATATGTTTGAAATTATTCACCAATATACAAGGTATCGACTAGAATCGTGACAGGTGGTTAGAGCTAGTTTTTTTAAAAATGAACCTCATATTTTTATTCTATATTCATATTCAGTGGAAAACGGTCTCCACTCTAAATGAAAACTCAGTTGAGACATTGTTTTTTTTCGATATAGAATAATTTGATCGTTTTTTAGTTGAATGAACTTTCGTCACATGGGATATTTAACATTAAATTCCAAATAAACCTAACTGGTTTGCTCCTACTCGGCAATATTTCCGGTTTTTTTGTAAGTTGGTTTGTCAATTATTCGACATTAAATCGTTGAGAAAATTAAACTCTTAGAGTAATGTATCATAAACATGAAAGCCTACTATAGTTTCAGTTGAACTTTTTGATTGATGAAATTTTGATGAAAAACAGGATGAAGTTCACAAACATCTGACTATATTCATTTGAATACATCCAATAACTGTTTTTAAAATTCTCTAATACTCTATTGGGAGGATTATAAGTAGCAAAAAAGGAAACTAGACAGTTCTCTTCGGCTCGTTTCGTATCCCGGTTAATGCTCGTGTCTTAATAACCATCATTACATGATCGTTGCATAATATACTAATGTTTCTTCAAAGATAAGTATAAATAAGCAAGATTTATGGTGTTATCAGATGAATCCGATGAATTTTCGACAATTTCATCGACTAAATGGTCTAATTTCCACATATTACTCTCTTTCAAAACATATTTAATACATTTTCGCCATTTTTTTAATAAACCTTTTATAATGACGAAGTATTTTGACTTCTTTCATTTTGAAGGTCGTTTCTTTTTGTAACGAAACCCTTCACTTGAGTCCAAACTAGTTCAATGGGATTGAGTTCGCAATGATAAGGGGTCAGGCGCAGAATATTTCGTTTCTGTGCAATCTTATCGACTTGCATATTTTTTGAACATACTATGGACAATAGTTACTTTTTTTTAACTATACTCTCATCAATTGGTATGTTTTTTGTCGAAGCTCACTCCTTTCCATGCATTAGTTGGTATTCTTTCAATTTTCCTGGAATGATAATTTGCAATATCAGAGTGAGGTGGAACGAGGTCTAGCATTTGCTCAAAATATTCGTCGCTGTTCATTGCCTTCCTGGTAATCGTCAGAATGCTGAACACCCATAAACCACATTCAGCAAAACAACCAATAAATTTTTGAATAATGGCCAACGTGAAATAGTTCAAATTTAATATCATTGATATGTACGTTGTGGAAGAGTCTCGTCAAATTTTTAAATCACTGTTGTAGTTTAAAAAAGGACTATAATGGAAGGATCATATGCACATTTAAAATCATAAACATCACTAGACGAAATGAGGAGTAAATGAAGAACTTCTTTATTTTTTTAATTGATAAGGTCAAGATTTCGACTACGGAAAGTAAAAATTCAATGGTGGTCTCTCTAAAAACAATGAATGAAATCCTTGAGAACTACCAAGTTCATGGAAAAATCAGATATTCTCATTTTTTGCTACGTATAAATATTTTCTTACATTATTGGAGATTTTCAAAAACAGTTTTTGGATTTATTTTAATAAATATAGTCAGTTGAAGGCTTCAAAAAGTTTAGAAAACGTTTGAAAATCTATTTGTAGTTTTGTTTATTTGTAGAAAACTAGATTTATATTTGTCCAAACTAGTCGGTACCTGAATTACGAGTTGCGAAGGAAGTTTTGAAAAGATCATTATTGTGCCATATTTTTAAAATGTCAAGCTTTTTAAAATCCAGTGTTTTCAGTTATCTACCAGAAGTAAGAGTTTGAAGGTATGTGATATATTTCTTTATTTTTCTCAAACACTTATGAACTCTACATGCACCGATGGGAAAGTAACGTACACTTTTTTATCATTCAAAGTTGATTGTATTTTTGTCGAAAATTTAAACTAGAACACATACTTTTTCATCTTTGGACGTCATCAAATCTATTGAAAATATACCAATCCGCGAGTTTGATGTCGTTTTGATTGATTTATTTCAATATTCTTAGATGGAAATAATTCTGGCACGCATTAAGTGGCATTTTTTTAGAGATATTAATGCTGAATTGCTCGAGTTTGAATGTACACATCTCATATTTTCAGATATTCTGATGAAAATCTATTTTGATTTAATGATGATTTTCATCTAACAAGTTTTTATAGTTTTACAGCTATTGAGTGTGCTAGAGCTGTTTAATCGATGAAATTTAACATACATTTTGAAACTGAGTTTTTTGAGTTTATATTTTCGTTTCCATTTTTTATATAAATATGCCACGTACCTACACCAAGCCCTGCCTCTCGAGCTCAATCGATCAAAATGCAAGCAATTCCATAATTTTCAAAATGTTACTATTAAGTAAATTCTTTCGTTTATAACAATTTTATCCAAAACACATGTCAGGAATCTCAAAAATATTTTTAAGTTTGACATGTTTAAACTGAATCAAGATGTTACAGAAGTTAATGACGAATTCAGCATTTTTAAAATCACTTAAATTTCTAGAATGCTTTGAATTTGATACAAATGTTCAGCTTAAAACACTAACTCAGTTCATTGTTCATTCTTTAAATTATCGAAATACGAAAGGTAAATATGTGATCCCCCCCATTGACGGACAGGACATTATTTGCTTATTTGCCACCCAGTTTGCAATAGAAGAGATAATATATATTTGAATCGTTTCCTACAAATAGAAAATTTTCATTACTATCACAATTTTTTTTTTTCAGAAAATTATACTCGCCAAAAAAACTTCTGCATCATAGCGAACCCAAAATAAAGCACATAAATTTTTCTTTCATCATACAGAAGAACCAAAAATTAGCAGTAGAGACAAGAATAACCAGGTTGAATTTTCAAACAATAATGATAATGTTTTTTGGATTGATAATTCAATATAAATTTGTGGCTTTTTTGACTCAACTTGTCTCCTACAAATTGAAAAAAAATCGATTTGTGGAATCTGCCGTCCCAAACTCTGATAACACACATTAGTTTGTAAAAAATCTTTTCATACAGAAGGAACCCAAAATTAGCAATTGGTGCAAGAGTAATAAAAACTACCTTATATTTTCAAAAACATACAAACATTATTTTGAAAATTAATGAGTTACACTTTATTGTGAAATTTTCACTAAACAGTTAGTTTAAAAAACCGCAACACGTGTTTCATTATACAGTAGCTTCCTCAAGCAACTGAGAAAATCAAGAGATTGGCAACAACACTGGATAGAAGTTTTTTTTGAAAGCTAGAAAACGAATTCATAATCGAGTCAATGATAATAATTATAAATTGATGGATATCATGGAAATCATGTTGAAGAAAATAGAAATGAAACTTTCTATGTTTTTACCACTTAAGGAATGGGAAGCACTAGAATGGCCTCCTACATCACCAGATATAACTAACAGGGAGTCTGGGGTTGTTGAATCGGATATTAATGATCTTAAAAGGCGATCAACATGATGTTCAATTTCCGGTAAAATTCACAGAAATGTAAGGATGGTTTTCAAAACGGTTCAGAGGACAACATTTTTCTCAACCAAGTAACATCTACCCTTCTCGGTCTAAACATATTTATTGAAGATGGTGAATATAAAATTGACATTGTCTAATTTTTTCATTATTTTCTAAAAGGTTTAATGTTTTCAAATTGACACTGTTTATTTTTATGGTATGATTGGGACAAATAAAAAAGTTGGGTTGAATGGTACCTTAACATTTGTGGAATTTCTTTTTATAACCACCCAAGACAAATTCTAAAAAACGTTTTTTAATCAACTAAGAAATCAATAATTTTAAAGTGAATCAAAGTTGAGTTTCTGAATGGAATGACATTGCTTTCTATATTCGGATTCCTCCAGAAAAGTATAAGGTTATATGGGTATATACCATGCGGTTCAAAAGTGATTCCCAAAAATAATTTCAAAAAATTATTCTATTCATTCGTCTCTTTTGTAAATGGATAACCTTTAATTTGGCAGAGATATTGGAGAATTCAATGTTTCAAAACATTGTTTTTCTCATAATTTATTTCGAGAAAACTTTATTTTATATTACGCGTCGTAATTTATAGAACATCTAAGACTAATTTTTCTTCTTCAGCCTAATTGATCGCGAATCAATCTATTGGACGATAATTATTTCCCTGTCTTTATATTATCATTATTGTGTCTACTGAAAAACTGTCATTACAAAATATCTTATTCATATTACCGAAAGGGTTGATGTCCTCGGTTTTACAGGAGAATTTCAATTTAGAAAATAATATTTTTGAAATCATGTTTATTACTATCGCACTGCTTACGTACTAACCTATAAACCTAATATTTTTTAAGGGCTCTCCAAGGGAAATCACATTTCTAATATAAAATTAGTGTACCATTTAAACAAATAAGGAAAATATTTTTGAATTTTGATTTACCCAGCATTGAAAAAATTTTTGTGTGGTTACATCATTATCCAATCATAGAAAAGCTATATTTTCATAACAAGATAGACTCTTCAAATGAGCTGAATAGATCAACTTTTTTACGTTATTTTTGGCATACATTCTGAACCGCTTGGTAGGGGAGACCGGATATGGTTGTCTCACGGGTTGGTTGTCACAGTGGCCGTAACAGAAAAACGAACGAACGAACGAGTCGCAGTAGCGCGAGAGCAATATCTCTCTCCCCACCTCACGTTAGTCCGCTCCAATATGCCGTGACGGTGACACGTACGTTTGTTTTTTTCGTGCAGTGAAAGTAAATTTTTGTGCTACTGTTTCGAACCTCGTAAGTATTACGAAATTCTACATAATTATAATATTTTCATACATTTGCTAATGATAAATATATTTTATAATATAATATAGTTTTTTCGATATCCATTTATCGGAATTTTTTTGAAGGTTATTTTTCTAAAACGTGTTTTGGGGCAGGTTGTCTCCGGTCCTCGCGAGCAGGTTGTCACATGTGACAACCTGCCCAAGTTTGTGTGTTGGCATTGTGCGTTTTCGAACTTTGCTATGTAAATTTGTTTATTTCAGTAAGAGTTCCAGTATGCCACAGGTTCGCGAAAGGAAGACTACTCGAGGGCTTGTTCTACCAGGATTGATGCTGCGTGCTGCGAGGGAAGTCAAAACATATGCCAAATCGATCAGATCTGTTGCGAAAGATTTTGGAATTAATTATCGCACTTTAACGAGGTATTGTAATAAGTTTACTGACGAAGAAATAAGCAATATGTCCATATCACCTTCTACAAAAATAGGCTACCAAAAGAATCGACAGGTTTTCACCGATGAACAAGAAGCAGAGTTGGAAGAGTACATACTTCTTGCTACAAGTGTCAATTTTGCTCTTTCACCCAAAAATGTTCGTAAAATAGCGTTTCAACTTGGTGTGTCTAATAAATTGAAAGTGCCAAAATCTTGGGAATTAAACCAGTTAGCCGGCACCGACTGGTTCAAAAAATTTTCGACAACCTTGAATCGGTAATTAAACAAAATAATATTCAGTCACATGACATATGGAACATGGATGAAACAGAGGTAACTCCTGTCCAAAAACTAAACAAAGTAGTTGCGAAAAAAAGGTTCAAGGAAGTCGGTGCTATTACCTCACCCGAAAGAGGCACACTTGTTACCTTAGCTACTGCTGTTTCAGCAGTTGGAAATTCAGTTCCACCATACTTCGTTTTTCCGAGGTTTCACTTTGAAGAACATTTCATACGAGATGGACCAATTGGCTGTAAAGGAGGCAGTAATCCATCAGGTTGGATGACGGAGGAGTTATTTGTTGAATTCCTAAAGCATTTTCATAATCACGTAAAATCAACCAAGGAGAAACCATGTCTCTTGTTGTTAGACAACCATAGCTCCCACATATCCATTGAAGGACTAAATTTTTCGAAGGAAAATGGCATTTTGATGTTATCTTTCCCACCTCATTCTACTCGCCGCCTAGAACCCTTGAATAGGTTGGTTTATGGACCTTTAAAAAAATATATTAACAACACCATGGATCAATGGATGATAAATCACCCTGGACAGCAAATGACGATTTATGAAATTCCAAGCATAATAGCACAAGCTTTCCCTTTGGCGGCAACTCCATCCAATATTGTCGCAGGATATAAAACTTGCGGGATTTGTCCATTTAATAGAGACATATATCAAGAGCACGATTATATGCCGTCGTCTGTCACTGATAGACCACTAATAACGGTTCAAGATAATGAAATTGTAACCAACGGCGGACGTCAAGAATCAAATCGATAATTCATCCCATAATCGTCCTACAGTCTGAAGATCATAACACTGGCCCTAATAAACCTATTGTATGTCCATCTATCCATGATGACCCTGCATTGACAGAAAATGTTAACCCTGTTCTTGGTGTTCGTGCAATGACGCCAAAAGATTTCATAATGCCAGGAACATCATTTAAGAGTCAAGCTCCAAAGGAGCCCCATGGCGATACCCGGTCCAAGTGAGAACTTCTCTGTTTGTACCACCGCAAGTTTTGAAACCACTACCAACAGCACATTCGCGCAAATTGCAGCAAGCTGACAAAAGAAAATGTAAATCAGAAATTGTAACAGATACACCAGAAAAAGCCTATTTAGAAGAAAAAAAAAAGGAACAAGATGCGAATAAAAAAAAAGGCATCAGGATTGCCAGTTTTGGGCTTATGAAGAGTGCACGCCTGGACTATCAAATTACATTTGTCAAAATTGGGACTGAATATTCAGACTGAAAGAAAAACTGACAGTGATGTCATTAGGTTAACAATTTTTTATTTAAAAATTATTCGTAAGAGATTGACTGATTGAAGAAAATGTTTGAAAACTTGCAAAGTATATATTTTGTTATTTTTTGTTACCTGAGAGACTTATAATTATAACATAATTGTTAAATTACAATAACTATTTGCTTAAAGTAAGTCAAGTTCCTTTTTTTCTTCTTGTATTTGGTGAATTATGATTCTGTGTAGGTATTAGTTTGAATAGGTATTCAGACTAATTAATAGACTTATTTATATAATATTTAACAACTGATTAGTTCGTAAGAGATTAATTACTGATTAAGATAACAAAACGTACAAAGAATTAATGATCTTAGGCCAAAGTGACTAGATATCAAACCTAACAGTATTATAGTTGCAATGTAAGTTACTAATCGCATAGAGCTAGATTTAGTTTTTTTAAAATTATTTTCTTTTTTGGAGTGCAATAAGATGTATAAGGTTTATGTCTTCAATAATAAATACAGTTTTGATTACGATGAGAGTCTTTTTTTTTTCATTAACCCTGTGCAATTTTATATGTGACTACCTACCCCAGCCACTGTGACAACCATTCCTGATCCGGTGTTAAAAGTCACACTTCTCCTTTTCACAAAAATTTGTTTTTTTCTCATCAGGTAATATTAGAGAGAGACACTTTATTTTTTTATGTCTTACAATAATTATACTATTCATTGGTCAACAAATGTCATTTCTAAATGGCTAACTTTTGGAGTTATACACTGATGAAAAAAAAAGTGACTTCCAACGCCGGTCTCCCCTATAGACCCACATAATACTTCATTTTTGTATTTATAATCTAACTTTATATTACTTTTCATTTATATCAAACAGATTTTAGTCATTGTATGAGTACGTCAATTCCACCTGATCGTATTCATTTTCAGATATCCCATTGAAGAACATGTCGCACGACATACACTAGGTGAACAAAACTTCAGTGATCTTCAACTGTTTCATTGTTGTAACTGTGGAAAAGGACTTGATATAAAACATTCTTGTCCCAGACCAAAAGCTGCCTGTTCTCTTTGCAAACAACACCTCGTGAATGTGAATACAAAAAAGCACAAATGTTTCCTGAGATTAAACAGCGACGATACCGACAAATATTTTTTCAAATCAACGACAATTATCACCGAAGATGTAACTGCTGATGAAAATAGAAAATCCAATAAAAAATACACAAACGAAGTAATTATTCGAGTTTACAGATGTAGGCGGTGTCGATTAGAATTTGATTCTAGAAAAACTTACAGGAAGCATCTACATCAGCAACATAATGAGAAATATAACGTGTGTCCCATCTGTGGCAAGTCCGTCGTTAACTTGAGTCAACATAGAAATGGAGTTCACGGTGATCCTGCTTCTTTTAGATGTTCAAAGTGCGACAAATCTTTCTCTTGCAAAAGGCATCTGCAACGTCACATGCTAGCGCATGGTAATGAATTTAAACATAAGTGCACTACTTGCGGAAAAGGATTCAAAACTCCATTCTCGATGAGGGTCCATATGAGATCTCATGATGTTGTGAAGCCTTTCGAATGCTCAGTTTGTCTGAAGACGTTCACTACAAAGCAATGGAGAGATAATCATTTGAAAACTCATAGAGAGTAATGGAAATATTCATTTAGATTAGTTAGTTGGGTCCATGGCTTGTTCACGAATCTTGAAACGCCATCAAATGAAACAGAACATCGACAAACCGGGAACAAACCCTTTTTCAACTAAAGTGATACGGAGCAGTCTCCAGTTTTGTTCTTGTTATTAAGTATTCCTACCAGATGAGTAATTGTTGCACAGACACAAAGTATAACAAAATTTTCAGTGAAGATTTGCCGCAAACCAAGATAAAGTTGTTTTTATCTGGAGCAATCATAATTTTGACGAATGGTAAACTACCATCTTTGTTCTATAATTTCATTAGAATATCTAGCAACGAATTTGAAAACCTGATAAATCTGTCGGTGGGAAAAATATCCAAGCAGAATACAAACTATAGAGTTGCTATTTCTTTCAAGGCCAACTAAATTACTTGAGGTTTGCAGTCATTTATGTAAAATATTGTTGATAAAGTTCATAAACTACACGTAAATAGCGGATCATACTTTGAAATCACCTGGTGCTCAAGCAATGAGATGGAATGAAACATACAAATCAATCGTGATACAATACAAGACAATGGTTCTCTTCTGAGGTGCTTGGCTGATCCAAGATCCAGTGCCTATCCTTGTCATCTATGGGATCGATAGAAGACGCAATCCTTGAATATCAGAAAGGAAACTTCGTTTATTCTCAAGATTCATGATAGAGAAAGTTCGTATTCGAACTAAACAATGAACTCATGTTTCAACTTATGAAATCGCAGACCAAAATCTTCGTTAATATGCATATGTATCCCTTTTTTCATCAGTTGAATTCCACCGATTAATCAAATTAGTTTACGATGGATCTGTTGAAGATTATTTTGGGTGAGAAAAGGAACAGTGACTGCTGTTGGTTGGTTGATGAGTGACAAAATGCCCTCATTGATAATATAACCGTGATTAGTACTCCACTACCTATTAATTGACAGTTGGCAGCTTGAAATAATTCATATATAGAATTCGTCAATGTAGGTACATCGATGAAAAAAAAAAGTGTGATGAAATCAAGTGTGAAAGCCGGTGAATGAGATTATATCGGTGAAGTAATTGTTGAAAAAACGATCATTGCAGATATGAACTGAAAGACAAATCTCTAAATCATTTATTAGTTTTCATTTTTCAGATAAAATTAATATATTTATTTTGTGTGATTGAATGAAATTGTAGAAACCTATAATGTTTGTTTATTTTTCGGAAAATGTAATGGACATTTGTTTCAATTTCAGTTTTCCGAATTCTCATCCCAGAAAATATGAATTACGCAAACCCTTGAATAAAACAAAATTTGATATGGACTGCGAGGTTTCGATATCCTGGCCGAACGAGAAATATCTGAACGGAGAAAGTAAACGCGTAAAACTGATACCACGGAATCCTTCGAGAAATCAAATCCGAAAGTGTACGACATGTTTCACACTATTTCCGTCGGAAATGGCACTCCAACAACATATACGGAATATTCATTATTATTTTTTCTGTAATATTTGTCTCGTTTACTTCCAGGATAAACATCTTTGCTCGAACTCGTATACAGTTTGTGCGTTTTGTAAGTCTTCTTTTGTCGAGAAGCAAACTAATATTTCCTCACATTTGTGCTTTCATAAGAGATCTCAGGACGATTTCGATATTTTAAAAAACAAACTTCTTTTGATGTCTCTGAGATGACGGTGATATTTTTTTCATGTGGATTCAGTCGTGTAGTATATCATGGAAATAGAAAAGTACATAAATGAATGAGTATTCAAATAAAGGGGACTATTTGTTATGATAATTTAATGTTCAGGAATAGGCACCCCATGAAACTTGAATAAAAATAAATTTTTCAAAATGTGTGTTTTTGATTTTCTGTTTCTTTTGTCTAAAGACTAGTTTAAAGGTCTGGTGTCAATTTGAACAATACCTACTGTAACACTTGTAGGTTTTTTTATAAGTGACACATTGTGAATTCAATAATCCAAAGTTACAACTTGAAAACACTATATACTTCAAAAACACTACTCAAATACTACGTTTATTACGAGAGCAATGAGAACGACACCAACGGCAGCAATGGATACCCTGTTGAATCTACCTTCATAACATATTTTAATAACGAGTGGATCAGTTCAAATTTACTGATCTACTAGGGATCTTGTACACGAGAACGAAAAGGATCATGAACCACATGACAACGAAGTACAGTTGACATTAATTCCGACGTTAAAATCACTGACCGCGAAGGTGCATGATTAATAGTCGTCCCGATGACATACTCAGTCGAAACAACTGGGGTTCAGTTGAGTTGAAAACTGTACATAAAATGGGAGCTGGAATTTTGAGCGAGAAAATGTTTACATCACAGCTACCCGCTTGATAAACACATTTCTCTTCCAGGCCGAATTGGTTTTGATGAAATGAGAGAATCAGATCGCATTCGGCCCCTTGATGAAACCGAGAATGATATCGAGATTTATTTGGGAGTACCGTAATCACATGAGACAAGCAGTTTATTAGGTCGAGAAGAACATGCCAGACCCGTAAATGGTTGCATCAGTGATATGATAGAACGTAGGAAAAATGCAATACGCCCACAAGGCTGTAGGATTTTCTGAAAATTAGGAAAAGATGGACAAATTTGACTGCTGCGAAGTATTGGACCATCCCTCTATTGCTGTTGTCTGGATCTGAAGAACTTGTTAGCTTCAAGACTTCAAAACTTCAAGAATTATATAAAGATAGAAAAATCCGAAACCGTTCTGTTCTTCCACTAGTTCCCGGTCAGTCTCGATCAACATTATAATAGTCTACTATCTATTGCATCTTGGACAAATCTGTCACTCAATTCTGAAGTAACCAGCATGTATGATGGAATTGGCCGATACTTGATGAAAATCCATAACTAACGTATTTGAGAAAAACACTTCATTGTGAGATTTTCACTAAACAATTTTACAAAAACCGAACACGTCTTGTGCCATACAATGGCTTTTCGGGCGTTTCTTAACAGTTAAGAAACGCTCGAAGAAGCCATTGTATTGCGAAACACGTGTTAAGTGTTTGAATGAATACCAGCATGGTTCGCTGTTTGAAATCAATTCTGTTTCTTATTTACTTTACAGTCTCGGTGTGAATTTTTTAGTTGGTGTTACTAGGCGGTAAATTAAATAAAATTGATCTGGTGGTAATTCCATTAATATTCAAAAGAGAGGTTTCGGCTTTCTACTTCTTCGTCTATATACAAAAAGCGTGGGAATCTTCTGAAGAAAGAAAGAGTGCTATTATTTTAAAAATAAGCTCTTTGCGAAGATGTGTAGATCATGCAATAAGAAACTTTTAGACAAAAACTGGAAGAAAAAGCCCTCTAGAAACTACTAGTTTCATATGAACATTGAATTACACGAAAGAAAAAATACTTTGGAAACAACTACTTTAATATGAACATTGAGTTATCCAAAAACACGTTTGCTTATTCAGTTTGCACTTCAAACATTCGTTATGGAATTGAATCTGATATCATTCACAGGCTAGGCTAAAGCCTAGCTGGTAACGGAAAATGGTTTGGAAACTGTCTATGCTAAGCTTTTCCAAAATTCACACAACAATTTTGCTTTCAGCAGCTTTGATGGCAATTTCACATGGTCGTTGCTATTTTCAAATATTCATAGTAGTCAATGATACTGGACATGTTTTCTCACTTGAACATGTTCAAATCAGTTAGGCCTACAGAAACATAAATATAATGGTACTTTCCAAGGTATCGACGATACCCAAAGATACTCGCAACTCTAAAGTAATTTTTTTTACATTGAGTCTCGTAGGGAATTTTGAGCTTAGGAGTTGTTTTGCCTATAATTTGTTCGGATCTCCCTCTAAAAACCTTACCATGCATCTCAATTTAGCAGACTCTGATCATAAAACACCACGATCAATTGATGTACTTCTGGGAGCTCACGTATTTCCCCACATTGTACAGAGTGGTCGAGTGATAGGGCACTCAACACAATACTTAGTTACATTCTAATGGGAAAACACGAAAACAAATTCCAACGAAACATTCAAGTAAATATTATTTTGTAATACACAGGAATCTGATCTTGAAGAATTGATCAAAAAGATTTGGGTATTTGAAAAAATTTCTTCAAAAAATTTAATCTCCAGAAGATGACATTTGCGAAAGACAATTTCTAGATACTGTTTCCAGAAATGATGGGGAGCGCTTTATTGTAACTTTACGAGATCCGGAACCTCAATTTCCAAACAGTCGTGAACTTGCCTTGCTAGAAAATCGTTTATTAAAATATCTTCAGTATCAAGATTATATTGAGTTTTTGAAAGGGTACCTTGAATTACAGCATATGGTAAAAAATAGAAAATGAAAACTTATACCAAATGGAAGTACTACGTATCGTTTTCCATGCGTTAGCAAAATTTGAAAACAATGTTTCTCCCAACGAAACTCATGTAGCTGGACCAAATCACCACGTTTGCATAATATAGCGCTTACTTCAATTTTGTACAGGCAAATTTTTCGTATTTCAAATATCATATATTTAGATAACGCAAAAAATTGTCGGTACATACAGTTACTAGACATAGTGTTGGACATTCAGCTTATGAAGAATCTATAAATTCCAATTCTTCACTACCTAGAGTGCCGAATACGTGGAGGGGAGCTTTGGGAAAGTGGCGTGAAATCTGTTTTTCCGTTAATCAGTTATATCGAGTTTCGTTATATCGAGTTATTGGTTTACAGAAACTCACCTTGGAAGAACTTGACACTGTTTTTTATCAAATAGAACTCTAGATCACTTCTGTTAGTAGTGATCCAAATGACCTTTCTGCTCTAACTCCAGGCCATTTTTCAACTCCAGAACCTCTGATTGCCGTTCCAGATGTTGATTTAGCTGATGTTGAACTTAGTAGACTCAATCGTTGGGAACTACTCCAAAGAATTCATTAATTTTTTTGCAGTCGTATCACCATACAGTAACCAAAGCCTTTTTTTGGTGGGTTTCCGCCTTTGGAAAGTGCCTGGGTTGCTCACTGGTGTCCAATCACTGTCCTGAACGTCTTCTATTGTCGTAGATGATCTTTTCATCACACGTGACGATTCGATCCAAAAAAGAATCGTTTTGGTTGCGTAAAAGCAAACGTGACAATTTTTGTCGATCGTTCAAATCGTTGGTCCTCCACTTTTCGAGTTTTTGACTATTCCAATACGTTTCAAACCATCAAAAACCGCATGGGAGCTGAAGCCCAGTTCTTCCGTCACCACTCACTGTTTGTCCGACAGGGTCCTCAAATCTTCGTCCTGGACTACTGGATTACTCTTTCCAGACTTTCAAAAGCATCCAGAAGACTAGTGTCATAGATCGGTCTTGAAAGTTTGAAGCAATGTACTTTCATTGTCAGAGTCTAATGCATGTTCTACAGCAAGAAACTTTGGTACTCCCCAAGACCTCTCAAAAATTATCCACAGAGCGTTCTATACAGATCGTCCACCAGAAATGTAGTTTGTTGCCGAATGCGTCATATTATACAATGGAGGATCACTACTTGACACTGATGATATCCGTATACATTGATGCTTTCGAAACTCCGAAAATAGTAGTGTGAAATGTAAACTCCGAAGAATAGTATAGTTGAAGTAAACGATATTATGTACTCTTAAAGTTCGCGACACTCTTAAAGGCAAAAAAACCAATACATAGAAATGAGCAGGTAGCGAACTAGGCCACGTGGACTGTAGACTTGGCGGTTCGTATTGGATAATTTTTACAAACCGAGTTGAATGAGTGGCTGAAGAGTCATAAAATTAAATTTGAAGTCATGTTGCGGTGACGAATCGGGAATGCGGGTGTGGTTATCGACGTCGTGTTCCGTTCAGGAACTGATCGCGATTTCGAGTGTTGAAATTCGGTATTGGTGCAGTTATAAATACGTAAAATTTTTGTTATCTGTTTGAAATGTGGCGTCCTTGGACAAGTACTAATAGTAATAACGAGTGTGATAACAACGCAGAATTTTTCTACTGTAGTGATTCCAATAGCGGTGGTGAACAATGCGAAAAAGAGATATCAGTGAATAAGATTCGGATGCATTTGAATATTGAAACACAGAGCGTATGTTTCAATGTATATAAGAATCTACATCTCAAGTTTGTTTTCAAGGGAAATAAACTATTACAAGCAACATCAG